TATTCCCACTATCAGAACTGGAGCTGGGGGAAGCAGAACTTACTAATTATGTTATTCAGCTCCAGACACAACTACAGCGTCTCCACCACTACGCGGCCATCGAGGGACAGAACCTGCCCATCGACGTCCACGCTCACTCCTTCCACCCTGGTGACTGGATCCTCGTCAAGGTCTACCAGAAGGAACCACTCCAACCCGCGTGGGAAGGTCCCTACCAAGTACTCTTGACATCACCAACCGCCGTGAAGATAGGTGAGAAGAATTCTTGGTTACATCACACTAGGTGCAAGTCCTCACCCCCTCCACAGGAGACCGAAGAAAGCAACGGCGAGGACTTCACCTTTTCGACTCCACCCGCTCCACCGACCTCATATATTGACGACAACGACCGACAGACCGGACTGGATCGGGGCCAAATTCGGGCCCAACAGACTGGACCAGTAGATCGGGGCCAAGGTCGGGCTCAACAGACCGGACCAGCAGATCGGGGCCAAGGTCGGGCTCAACAGACCGGACCAGCAGATCGGGGCCAAGGTCGGGCTCAACAGACCGGACCTGCAGATCGGGGCCACAGTCGGGCTCGACAGACCGGACCGGACGCCACGACAACCAACTGGACATCCGAGATCGTCCCCGATCCCAATACCATCCGACTACGCTTGAAACGCACTGACAGCGCGCTTTGACAGCTCCGTGCGCTTTGACAGCTTCGCTGACAGCTCCACTGACAGCGCGCTTTGACAGCTCCGTGCGCTTTGACAGCTTCGTTGACAGCTCCACTGACAGCGCGCTTTGACAGCTCCGTGCGCCTTGACAGCTTCGTTGACAGCTCCACTGACAGCGCGCTTTGACAGCTCCGCGCGCTTTGACAGCTTCGTTGACAGCTCCACTGACAGCGCGCTTTGACAGCTCCGCGCGCTTTGACAGCTCCGCGCGCTTCGACAGCTTCGTTGACAGTTCCTCTAACAGCGCATTCCCACGGCCTTCCGACCTCCTTATTCTCCAATGCCTGGCCATTCCCGGACTCTAACCATGAACTTCTTCATTTTCCTTATCTGCCAGACTTTGACCTACTACTCAGCCATGCCAACTGATCATTGTACTGGCTTACCCACGGATTACCATTTCCTGGACTATCACCGACTCGAGACGGGTGGGAAGTCAAACCCTGATCGAATGGGGGACTTTGACTTTTGCCTCCCCGAATCTCGGACATTGCTACGACATTCCCTCGTACCCCGGCTAACTGACGACGAGTACTGGGAACTCTTCATCCGAGACCAAACCCTACACCGAATTGGGTCAGCCGCAGTCACCCTCGACCATTCTTACTACCGCCTCACCTGCAAGAACGGGACCCATTTCCTTTTCGGCAACGGGGAACTCTTGAGGAACCCAAATTGGACCGAAATCGAGAAAGGGGGGCTGCACCATCCTACACCGACGCAACCAATCCCTCCGACAATTTGATTTTCGGATTCCAATGTCTCCTCATGACCCCAGAACCCCGAAAACCCCAGCTACAAGGACTTTGCGTAAGGAAGTTCTGCTGCCTTTGGAACCTCGGAGTTACCCACGACTGGAGAGGGGCAGAATATCTAGAGGGTTGGTACCATCCAGCACATCCCTCACGCTCCCCCACGTGGGATAACGTTGGACCTTTGCGATGTGGGGGCATAGCCAAAGACAGACGCCTCCTAAATACCACCGACCCCCTTCATCCACTCGGCACAGCACCACGAAAACTCGGCGCAGACCCGTCCATCCCAGGAGAGGATCTCCTTTCCTCCTGGGAACAGAACTCTTATATTAAACTCATCGGCCAGGTAGCCAAGGAGGCACCCTACCCTGAATGCTGGATCTGCGCCCATGCGCCCAGCCACCTTCAACAGAGCCTTCCCCTCGTTCCAGTCCCGGTTACCATAGAACAATTCCGGTCAGGGGACGTCGCCTCCTGGAACCTGACCGCGTTGAACTTGACCCACCAATACCTTTACCTCACTGGCCCGACTAAGGGTCCACTCTGCCGCACCTTCGCCGGGGAAGGGACCTTCATCGGCTCCAGTACCTGTACGTCCAACTTAGAACTCTTATCCACCGGCCATGTCACCATCACGGACGTGACCGGATCCCGGACCTTCCCAAACATCACCCTTGCTTGGGCCGCTGTCATCGGCCACCCTCCAAACTGGCAGCCTCAACCCGCCGACGCTATGCTACTGCAAGCCTTCGCCTCAGGAAGAATGGAGTCGTATCTCAGCGGCTTGTTTTGGGTATGCGGTCATCGCGCATATACCTGGGTGAGCCCCCATATGTCCGGATCCTGCTTTGTCGGGTACATCGTTCCCGGCATAAGAGTAGTGCCACATCTACCCCCTGGAAGACAGAGAAATAAAAGGGAAGAAAAACAACTGTCCGACTTATCCGATGTCGCTGCAAACGGGGAAACCGTGGGTCGAGCACTCTTTCCTGCCTACGGAGCAGGATCCAACCACGTCGACATCCTTCGGCTCACTGACATCCTCCTCAAATTCATGCAGGAGGCAACTGAGATCACGGACTCCCTGATGTCAGAACTGTCTGAGGTGAGACAGCTAAGTTTACAGACGAGGATCGCTACGGATTTTCTGCTGTCCAGCCAAGGAGGAACGTGCGCCTTAATAGGTACCGAGTGCTGCACATATGTAACGGACCAGACTTTAAACATTACTGGACACTTGAATAACATCCACGAACTAGCAGGGAGACTAAACGAGATACAACACGAGGGACTGTCTGACGTCGACTTGTGGGGATGGCTGCCCAAGCTGGGGTGGCTCCGACAATTGATCAAGGTCATATTGCTCACAATTCTTACTGTTGCCTTTTGCATCTCAGTTCTCTGTTGTGCCATACATTGTGTCTCTCCTTGCTGCTCCCTTCTCCGCTTCCCTGCTCAATCCGCTCCTCTTTCCTTTCGAGCCTATTCCCGCTCCCACAACGCTCCCGTCTTTCCTGAATATGTGCAAATGAGACATCTGGGAGAAGGGGAGTATGAAATCACAGGGGTATAGGGTGCGGAGAAAGGATTTGCAAGTTCCTACAGAACTTTGATGCAAATCTATCTCCGAATGGGGGACTGATACGGAAGGAGAGGGGGGGGCAACCATCTTCCCCTCCATCGCTTCCCGAATGGGCCCGAGGCGATGACCTCGACAGTGCCCAACTCGGCCTAGAACCCTCATCCCCCACACCGTTGCACAAGCACCACACTATACCCCTGCCTTGATAATAAAAGGCTCCTTTTCCTGTCTCTATACGGGCGAAATAAGCCCCGATCTTTCCTATGCCTTCCTCTCGCTCTATCCTTAACGTGAGTAGACCGCATCATAATGGAACCCCCATTCACTATACTGAGCCCCGCTTTAGCCAATCACAGCCATGCATTCGCCCTGCAGAAGCTAGCTCAGGGAGCTACTGCACGCCTCATTTCACTCCTGACAAGCTGCTGACGGCCCCCCACTGTGAGAACAATGGATCCGAAACCAGAGACCTCGTAAAACTGTCAAAATCCTGTTACAATGTATCCATTCTTGCTACAATATTTCCGTTCTGTTTCCGATCGTGGCCAACGATACTGAATGGGTCGGAAAGCATAGAAATCTTTGGAAATTGATATAAAATCAACCGTAACTCCCATTTCTTTGCTTCTGGTGTCATTCTACTCAGTTCCCTTTCGACTCCATGATGTGACCCCTACCTCCATAATCCCCGAAACGGCGGGTCACGTACACAGGAACTTTCTAATCCTGTCAGATCGTTTCGCCTGACCCTTCCTCCGGGCAATATTAGGTGGCAGACGATGCATATCTCTGGCCCTTTGTCTTGCCACCACCGGTACTTCATAAATGTTTATCTATGTATATCACTCGCTCTGCATATTTCCCCCTCCCTTATCCCAAATGTTAATTAGTGTAACCCCACCTTTCCTTGAGATATTCATGACGTGTGTAATATATTCATGATGCAATCCATGAAACCCAACCTTCCCATAATATATTCATGACGTTTCTTGCACTGTATTCTGGGTCTTGGAGGGAACTTTTAAAAGTTTATGTCGCCCCATTCTCGGGGTTCAATTCCACTTTGAACCTGTTGCGCAATAAACTTGGATCTTCGCATTTTGCTCCTGCGTCCGGCTGAGCTTCCTTTTCTCCGCTAGAATCCGCGGACTTGGTCCGATCGGCTGGGTGGCAGGGTAAATACGCACCCAGGTTTTCCGTAACAGAACAAAAGGTGCCTGTTCTCACCAGGAAGTTCTTACAAGTAAATGCCACACTTTTAACCTTTTTTTGGGGGGGAGTGTACCCTTGAGTACCCCCAGAAAAAGCAAAACTCATCCTCCTGAAGCGCAAACAGAAGCACAAATAAACAATTGTTTTTTATTGTTCCTTTTATGCAGCTTCATTTCAGGGGAGATACTGAGGGCTTAGCTTTTTTCTAACCATCAAGGTAAAGTGGGCTTCACATAGAAGGTTTAAAAATAAATAAAATTCTAACATGGTTTCCTAATGGATGAAGTAAGTGCTGCATTCTGAGATGCACTGAAATCAGTTTCACACAGATTACTGCCAGCTACTGGTTGCCGACCAACCCAGGGGAAATATTTCTAAATGAAACTAGGATATTGCACATGAAGGCTGAAATGCAAAGGCACAAATCAGAGACTTGCACTCATGGGACAGCTGCATATTCCTGCATTGTACGGGGTTGGATCAGATGATCCTCAAGGTCCCTTCCACCTCTAAAAAATATATATGATTCTATGTACTGAAGGTTATCAGCCCCCATTCCTCCTGAAGGGAGTGCTGAAACATGTACAACGTCCTTTGGTTCCCACCCATTGACTAAAGTCCCATGAGTCCTTCCTCAGTGAGCCCTTTGGACTCAAGTGAGCCTAGTCTGGAGTTACAACTTATAGGATTCAGCTGCAAGGCAGGAAATTTTTGAGGGGTACTCACCTTGGATTTTTTCTGAGGATCCTGAAAACAACAGTTCAGCTTTTCCATAATCAGGGAAATGTTCATCTGTGAAAAGTACCACAATTTGTTTTAGAAAGTTAATTTCCCAGTGAACAGTCGGGCACATATGGAAATCAAGATTTTATAGAAGGATTATTTCATCTGAAGACACTTAAAAATTATTGATGCTTTGGCCCAAAGGACAAAGGAGTTAAAAAATCAATGCCTGGTTACCAAACTTTTTTTTTTTTAATGTGCACAACGTATTTATTTATGTGGGTGTTGGAAGGAGGCCCTGCTCCCTGCTCTGCAAGGCCCCTTTCTACCTGGCCTCAGGGGCAGGGCCACCCCCACCCGGAACAGCTAAAAGGCTCCTGGGAGGCCACTGGGACATGGCTGCTGCTGGAAATGCTTTTAAATGCTTTTAAATAGTTTTTAATCTGTGGTGTTTTAAATGTTGGGTTTTTTTGTTTTTGCTCTGTTGGGAGTGGGCTGTGCACCTGGTCCTTCAGGGGCAGTTACCCCATTCAGGATCAGGTAGTCCTCCACACCTACCCGCCCCGTCCCCCCAAACAGTACTTCTGTCTGGATGAGTGTTCAGACCCCTGGGCTCTCACTTGTGGGGTGCCTCAGGGTCCCGTCCTCTCCCCCAGGCTTTTCAACATCTACATGAAGCTGCTGGGAGAGATCATCAGGGGGTTTGGGCTGGGTGTTCATCAGTACGCAGATGATACCCAGCTCTACCGCTCTTTTAAATCAGAACCAGTGAAGGCAGTGAATGTCTTGCGTGAGTGTCTGGAGGCAGTTGGCAGCTAACAGATTGAGACTGAATCCTGACAAGACAGAAGTACTGTTTAAGCACATAGATGTGCTTAAATCCTCCTCTGCCATCTTCAAGGGTAGATGGATACTTGCCTGTGTTTGCATTCTCCAAGTCCTCTTTGTCAAGCACCAGACTATATCCTTGAACAGCCCCTGTGTGGAATTGCAGGCGGGAAATATCACAGGTGGTACATCCGTATTTTTTATGGCAGCACTTCAGCTGAAATAGAGGAAAACACAGGTAAGGCAACTTCCAGTATTCATGCAGGCACAAAATGCTTAGGTATGTAGCAGAATAGATCAGCAAAAAAATCCATATACAGTGGTACCCCGCAAGACGAACGCCTCGCGAGACGAAAAACTCGCAAAACGAAAGGTTTTTTTCGTTTTCGAGTTGCCTCGCAAGACGAATTTCCCTATGGGCTTGCTTCGCAAAACGAAGCTTGCCCCGGGGACAGCGGGTCTTCTCTTTTGAAGCAAGGGGCGGCGGGGAGATCGCTTCTCCCCACCGCCCCTTGCTTCAAAAGAGGTCCGGGGGCAGCGGGAAGCGCTTCCCGCTGCCCCCGGACCTCTTTTGAAGCAAGCGGCTGCGCTTCTCTTCGCAGCCGCTTGCTTCAAAAGAGGTCCCGGACCCCTTTTGAAGCAAGCGGCTGCGGGGAGATCGCTTCTCTCCGCAGCCGCTTCCTTCAAAAGAGGTCCCGGACCCCTTTTGAAGCAAGCGGCTGCGGGGAGATCGCTTTTCTCCGCAGCCGCTTGCTTCAAAAGAGGTCCCGGACCCCTTTTGAAGCAAGCGGCTGCGGGGAGATCGCTTTTCTCCACAGCCGCTTCCTTCAAAAGAGGTCCCGGACCCCTTTTGAAGCAAGCGGCTGCGGGGAGATCGCTTTTCTCCGCAGCCGCTTCCTTCAAAAGAGGTCCCGGACCCCTTTTGAAGCAAGTGGCTGCAGGGAGATCGCTTCTCTACGCAGCCGCTTGCTTCAAAAGAGGTCCCGGACCCCTTTTGAAGCAAGCGGCTGCGGGGAGATCGCTTCTCTACGCAGCCGCTTGCTTCAAAAGAGGTCCCGGACCTCTTTTGAAGCAAGCGGCTGCGGGGAGATCGCTTTTCTCCGCAGCCGCTTCCTTCAAAAGAGGTCCCGGACCCCTTTTGAAGCAAGCGGCTGCGGGGAGATCGCTTTTCTCCGCAGCCGCTTCCTTCAAAAGAGGTCCCGGACCCCTTTTGAAGCAAGTGGCTGCAGGGAGATCGCTTCTCTACGCAGCCGCTTGCTTCAAAAGAGGTCCCGGACCCCTTTTGAAGCAAGCGGCTGCGGGGAGATCGCTTCTCTACGCAGCCGCTTGCTTCAAAAGAGGTCCCGGACCTCTTTTGAAGCAAGCGGCTGCGGGGAGATCGCTTTTCTCCGCAGCCGCTTCCTTCAAAAGAGGTCCCGGACCCCTTTTGAAGCAAGCGGCTGCGGGGAGATCGCTTTTCTCCGCAGCCGCTTCCTTCAAAAGAGGTCCCGGACCCCTTTTGAAGCAAGCGGCTGCGGGGAGATCGCTTTTCTCCGCAGCCGCTTGCTTCAAAAGAGGTCCCGGACCCCTTTTGAAGCAAGCGGCTGCGGGGAGATCGCTTTTCTCCGCAGCCGCTTCCTTCAAAAGAGGTCCCGGACCCCTTTTGAAGCAAGCGGCTGCGGGGAGATCGCTTCTCTCCGCAGCCGCTTGCTTCAAAAGAGGTCCAGGGAACACCTGCCCCAGCCGCCCCGCTTCGGAACGCTGCTCCGAAGCGGGGCTGTGGGGCGGGAACCTCTCCCCCCGCCGCCGGGCATCAGAACGATGCCCCGATGCCGGGCGGTGGGGCGGGAACCTCGCACCCTGCCGCCGGGCATCGGAACGAGGTCCTGGACCTCTTCTGAAGGCAGGCGGTGGCAAAAGTCTTTGCTCCCCCCGCCTGCCTTCCCGGGACAGCGGAGACTTCTCCGCTGCCCCGGGCGATCTTAAAATGCTGGCGGGCGGGAGCGAAGCGTTCGCTCCCGCCCCCCAGCATTTTAAAATCTCCCCGGGGCAGCGGAGACTTCGCTCCCGCCCGCCAGCATTTTAAAATCGCCCCGGGACAGCAGGGGCTTTTAAAATGCTGGCGGTCGGCAGCAAAGCCCTCCTGTCCCTGGAGCTTGCAGGGCGGGAGGTGGGAAGAAGGGCTTTTCTTCCCACCGCCAGCCTTCAGAACAGCCTTCTGAAGGCTGGCAGTGGGAAAAAAGCCCTTGTCCCCCCCCCCAGCCTTCAGAAGAGGTCGGGGGACAGACTGTCCCCGGACCTGGTCTGAAGGCGGTTTCCCTAGGAACGCATTAATTGATTTTCAATGCATTCCTATGGGAAACCGTGCATCGCAAGACGAAAAACTCGCAAGACGAAGAGAATTGCGGAACGAATTAATTTCGTCTTGCGAGGCACCACTGTACTGTACTGTGGGGCAGATGTGTGGTGCAGACAGTAAGCATTGGTTTAGCCATGAGAAACCCAAGATGCAAAACTTTGCTTAGCCATGAATCTTGCTGGATAGCCTCAGGCAATGCAGACTGTTCCTCTGGCCATAATCCCTCAGAGTAACCTCACAGGGCTATAGTAAGAATGAGACCATAGCCACTCTTAGTCCTTCGAAAGCAACATGGGCTGGGCCCTCTAGGCTGTCCATCCACCTTAATCAGCCTTGTCTCTAGATCTCGACCATTTCAGACGGCACATGACTGAATGGTCCCCCGTTCCTGCCCAGTGCAGCCTGCAACCTAAGAACCTGATTCAAAGCTAAGCAAAATCTACAGGGTGTTGAATTTTAGCCAACCCTGTTCTATAGGGCCTTCTAGTCTTACTTCTCTGCCTTGTTGTTAGACATATTGAACAGAAAGGATCCAATTTAGTTTGTAAAAAAAGTCATAATAATACCCAGTATAATGTACTAAGTGACTTTTTATCTATGGTTTTCTTGATGACTCTTTACTTTGGCTCATCTCTGGATAACCTTTTGAGCTGCCTAAATTTAGCTAAAACACTAAATATTTGTAGGTTTTCTTCCTCCAAGGAAGATGGAGACAGTGTTTTTCTGTAGAAAAAATACACCCAGAGCATTTAAACATCAACGAAGTCCAGTTAATGCTTACCATAACATCTCCCTTCAGCAGCTGGGCTGGTTCCACTCCAATAGAGACACTGTTTTTATTCTCTGGCCCCACACTACTTAAAGAACAAAGAAGGGGAATTATGTGAGAGGCTGTATTTCAAAGTGCCGTCAGAAGAGATAATTTTGAAGTCCAGGAGTCCAAATGGCTGAAACCTGATTTATACATTTAAAAAATCTCAGCCCCTCTGGGATTGTACCAACTCAGGTCCAGGTGCAGGAATAATATTGTTTAACTGAACCATTTTCACACAGAAAAATAGCTGCTTAGGGAGAAAGTGGCCCTCTCCATTTGGGATTCCTGATACAGAAGAGAACATGGAGTGTATTCAGATGCACACTCTGGACTTGATTTCAAAAAGCTTAAGGAACAACTGGGTGAAAATCCATGGTCAGAAATATGCAAAGAGAAGGGAGTTCAGGGTGGATGGGAGTTTCTTAGAGGTGAAATATTGAAGGAACAATTGCAAACAATTCCAACAAGAAAGGAAAGTGGGAGGCATCTAAGGAAACCAGTGTGGCTGCATAAGGAGCTCACAGATGAGCTGAGAGTTGATAAAGGCATGTACAGTATAAGAAATGGAAGGAAGAAAGAAAGGGGAAATCACTAAGGAGGAATCTACATGAGTAGCCAACACTTGCAGGGAGAAAGTCAGGCAGGCTAACTTTCAGAATGAGTTCAGGCTTGCAATAATAATAAGAGTTTATTCATTTCTCTTTGAAGGAAGAGGAAGAACCGCAAATGGTCCTTTGCATGGAAAAGATGGAGAAATGCTCTTGGGTAACAGAGAGAAAGCAGAACTGCTCAACACCATTTGCCTCTGTCTTCACCCAAAAGGAAAGCGATGCCAAACTTGGTGGTAACAGAAGAAACAATGCAAGGAGGGAGCTGCAGCCCAAGCGAGGAAGAGAGCTGGTCAGGGAACACCTAGCTACTTGAAATGAATTCAGATCTCCAGGCCCTGATGAGCTGCACCCAAAGGGTATTAAGAACCTCGCAGTTGTAATCTCAGAACCTCTACCTATAATCTTTGAGAGTTCTTGGAGAGCAGGGGAGGTTCCTGCAGACTTTGTTGTTGTTGTTTAGTCGTTTAGTCGTGTCCGACTCTTCGTGACCCCATGGACCAGAGCACGCCAGGCACCTCTGTCCTCCACTACTTCCCGCAGTTTGGTCAAACTCATGCTGGTAACCTCGAAAACACTATCCAACCATCTCGTCCTCTGTCGCCCCCTTCTCCTTGTGCCCTCCATCTTTCCCAGCATCAGTGTCTTCTCCAGGGAGTCTTCTCTTCTCATGAGGTGGCCAAAGTACTGGAGCCTCAGCTTCACGATCTGTCCTTCCAGTGAGCACTCAGGGCTGATTTCCTTAAGAATGGATGCGTTTGATCTTCTTGCCGTCCATGGGACTCTCAAGAGTCTTCTCCAGCACCATAATTCAAAAGCATCAATTCTTCGGCGATCAGCCTTCTTTATGGTCCAGCTCTCACTTCCATACATCACTACTGGGAAAACCATGGCTTTAACTATACGGACCTTTGTTGGCAAGGTGACGTCTCTACTTCTCAAGATGCTGTCTAGGCCTGTCATTGCCCTTCTCCCAAGAAGCAGGCGTCTTTTAATTTCGTGGCTGCTGTCACCATCTGCAGTGATCATGGAGCCCAAGAAAGTAAAATCTCTCACTGCCTCCATTTCTTCCCCTTCTATTTGCCAGGAGGTGATGGGACCAGTGGCCATGATCTTCGTTTTTTTGATGTTGAGCTTCAGACCATATTTTGCGCTCTCCTCTTTCACCCTCATTAAAAGGTTCTTTAATTCCTCCTCACTTTCTGCCATCAAGGTTGTGTCATCTGCATATCTGAGGTTGTTGATATTTCTTCCGGCAATCTTAATTCCAGTTTGGGATTCATCCAGCCCAGCCTTTCGCATGATGTATTCTGCATATAAATTAAATCAGCAGGGAGACAAAATACAGCCTTGTCGTACTCCTTTCCCAATTTTGGAGGTGGACAAATGTTGGGGGCGGGGAGAGGACAGCTTAGTATCAATACCAGAAAAAGTCATGGAACAGACCATTAAACAGTTGGTCTGTGAGCAGTCAGAAAAGGATTTTGTGGTTTCTAAGAGACAGCTTGGGTTTCTCAAAAACAAGTCATGCCAAAGTAATCTTATTTATTTTTAAAATATAGAGAGCGTTACAAGCTTAGTGGATTGGGGGGATGCTGTGGATATAACATTGCTTGATTTCAATAAAGCTTTCAAAAAAGTCCCCCATGATATTCTTGTGGAGAAGCTGGTAAAATGTGGGCTGTGCAATGCTAGTGGATTTGACTGAGGGAACCCAAAGAAGCACCAAATTTGCAGATGACACCAAACTGGGAGGGGTAGCTAATACTGCAGAAGATAGAATCAGGACTCAAGATGACCTTAACAGACTGGAGAACTCCACCATGTGAAGAAAAGCACTGAGCTGCCCACCTTTTCTCCAAGCCTGTCAGGTATCCCCTGCAAGTCCTTTTCAAATGCAGAGAGGATACTTGAGACAAGAGATATGTGACCGGCTCAAAATCTTAATGGTCAGAAAGAGTCTGGGGGTCACTCCTCCCATGTTAAGCGAAAGACTTTAAAAAGCTGATCCGCTTCTTGCAGCACCAGGAATCCAGGTTCCCTCTTAGCATCAGGCTTCCAAACTGTACTTTCTGTGAAGTTGACCATCCTTGCTGCTTATGAGTAAACCAGAACTGGTGCAGCTAGGATTCTTGGGGCCGTCTTGGTGGCTGCTCCCAAACTTTGGAACTCCCTCCCTGGAGAAGCTAGAATGGCTGCCTCCTTGTTGTCCTTCCGTCAGCAAGTGAAGACCTTCTTGTTCCAAACGGCTTTGGGAATCTGACTGCCTTTAAGGAAAAGACTGGTGCTGTGCCCTTTCCACTGGAATTATCTGTATGTTTTAATAGGTCTTAGATAGATCAATACAGATAGAGGTAGAGATATAATTTTATTTCTATTAATATTTTATTGTTTTTTAATTACAGGCGGCAATCATTCTGCATGGCGGTTCTGTTCCTGGAACCCACGTGTCGAATTCCCCCCACCCCTGGTCCGCCCCCATTCTGCCTTCCTCCAGGTCCAAAAGGCCGCATGCGTCAGTGATTGCGTCAGTTGGACACGCCTAAAGTGGTCACTGCCTGTATGATAGTAGTAATAGTAGTAGTAGTAGTAATAATAATAATAATAATAATAATAATAATAATAATAATAATGTCCTTTTAGAGCCACAGAGCTCAGATTTATTTAGCAATCAGTTTTGACCTTCTGCCAGCTTCCCCCACCCTTTATTCCTAATAAAGTTTCTTAATTTGACAGCAATTGTTAACCACAGGGTTTTAGGATCTCCAGGTGCCCAGACACTTGGCATTCAGGCTACTGGGCATTTAGGATTGGAGTTGTAAGTGACCAGCTTGCTTTTCTGAGGTTTGGGAGAGACTCAGAGAGAGGGCAGGCTGTCTTTAAACTCTGAGTAACTCATACGGGAAGTGGGGTTTTTTATGTTGTGCCTCAACAACTTTTCTTCTTACAAGTCAATAACTGGGGGAGATTAAAATTAGAATTCAAGAGGCTTTTCTCATGTTTTTCCGATTCCGCATGGAAAAAGCAATGTAAAACAACACTGAAGTTAAAAAGGGGGGAAAGGGCAAGAAACAACTAAAATTGATGAGAACATTGTAGGAGTGGGGTCTAAGGGATGTATGGAGTGAGAGTAATCCAGGGGACACAATCCACACATTTGTCACCCTTTTTTTAGCTCACAATCTAAAATAGACTTTTAAAGGAAGTGCAGACAGCTCATATTGGCGAAATCAAAATAACAGACCATGTTCCAGTGAGTGCACAGTTCCTATTAACTCTGTCAGAAATTGTGACCCATATTTGGTATTTTGGTCCTGTCCTTGATGTCATTAGATTTTTTTAAAAAGAAAAATAATACAGAAGGAACAGTTTCAGAATTGCTGTGGGAAACAATGAAGACAGTGTTTAAAGGTCTATGTATGCAAGAAAAATCAAGAGTGAATAAAATCTACAAGGCACAAAATACACAGTTACAACAGGAAGTCTCTTCCCTGGAGCCAAGACACAGGGCAACAAGTTCAAAACAAGTTTACAAACAACTACCTATTATGAAGGATGTTCTTCTCATTATAGGGGATTGGAATGCTAAAGGAGGGAGTCCAGAGATAAAAGGAACAACTGACAAGTTTGGCCTTGGAGTTCAAAATGAAGCAGGGCAAAGGCTAATAGAGTTCTGTCAAGAGAACAAGCTGATCATCACAAACACGCTTTTCCAACAACACAAGAGACGACTCTACACATGGACATCACCAGATGGGCAGCATCGAAATCAGATTGATTATATTCTCTGCAGCCAAAGATGGAGAAGCTCTATACAGTCAGCAAAAACAAGACCTGGAGCTGACTGTGGCTCAGATCATCAGCTTCTTATAGCAAAATTCAAGCTTAAACTGAAGAAAGTAGGAAAAACCACTGGGTCAGTAAGATACAATCTAAATCAAATCCCTTATGAATACACAGTGGAAGTGAGGAACAGGTTTAAGGATTTAGATTTGGTGGACAGAGTGCCTGAAGAACTATGGGTGGAGGCTCGTAACATTGTACAGGAGGCAGCAACGAAAACCATCCCAATGAAAAGGAAATGCAAGAAAGCAAAGTGGCTGTCCAACGAGGCCTTACAAATAGCGGAGGAGAGAAGGCAAGCAAAATGCAAGGGAGATAGTGAAAGATACAGGAAATTGAATGCAGATTTCCAAAGAATAGCAAGGAGAGACAAGAGGGCTTTCTTAAACGAGCAATGCAAAGAAATAGAGGAAAACAACAGAATGGGAAAAACCAAAAATCTGTTCAAGAAAATTGGAGATATGAAAGGAACATTTTGTACAAAGATTACCATAATAAAGGACAAAAGTGGAAAGGACCTAACAGAAGCAGAAGACGTCAAGAAGAGGTGGCAAGAATACACAGAGGAATTATGCCAGAAAGATATGGATGT